CAGTCACTAACTTACTCGACCAGTCACTAACTTACTCGACCAGTCACTAACTTACTCGACCAGTCACTAACTTACTCGACCAGTCACTAACTTACTTGACCAGCTTGGGCGACATCGGGAACGGGCGAAGAACCCGGAAGCAGTTCTCCTTGTAGCACCATTTACCTGGGGGGGGGGGGAACAAAGAATGACCACTCACTGACCACTGCTTCAGTTTGACACACCTGTCCACACTCACCACAGTCCAACACTCAACAAAACACCCGCCAACCTCCCACTGACAACAGTCCAACACACCACAACAGAATTCCCCCACCCACTCACCAGTCCAACAACAACAGAACAACCGTCAACTCCCCTCTCACCACAGTCCAACACCCACCAACTTCCCAATGACCACAGTCCAACAACAACACAATCTTGGAGCTCCCATGTGCAAGTTGCGCACGTTTAAGATCGCTTGGTACGGTGGTTCTAAAATCGAAAAGAGTAGGCTTCGGCGCCACCTGGGCAAAATTCAAAATTCCTACAAAACTGAACATATTTAATGAGTTCCTTGCGCTCATATGACCTTATGCAATTGCGAGTACCCTAAAACATGGTATCAACAAAAACAAACAACAACTAACAAAACAAAAACAAACAGCGGATGAATATTACAGGAATATCTAACTATTCTCGTGTATACGACTCAAGTACAAAATCTACCATTTAGAGTTTTGAGTAGATCTTTTCATGGCACTCTGGACACACACACAAAAATCTTTGGCCTCCACACATCCCAGAAACAACGTGAACGAACTGTCGTTGGTTGTTACCTTTGAGGGGGATTCTCTCGGCGGGGTTCCGACTCAGGTCTTGGGCCCGACCCCCGGCCAGCAGGGAGAGAGCGGCGATAAGCAGAGAGATGTTCCACCACATGACGGTGTGCTCACTCTACACACAGGGCAATCAGGTCTGCCTCACACACAGCCAAGTAGCCACGGTCACTTGAGGCCCACACAGCGCACGAGGTACAGATCCGCGCCACTCACGGATCCTGCTTTTTATACTCTCGTTTCCACCGGGGAAACAACAAAAACAACAACAACACCACCAACAACAACAGCAACAACGACAAGAAGAGCAACAACAACAGCAACAACAACAACAACAACAACAACAACAGTTCGGTAGCCAAACCAATGGACTAGAAGAAGAATGATGATGATGAAGATATATATCTTTCACCCCCCCCCTCCCAACCCACCCACGAGAAATTAATTATTCTCTTCTGTCTTATTTGAAAACAGCGAGCCTGACCACAGATGCAGGAGAAGACAGATGGCGCCACAGCCACCAGCGTGAAGCACTAGGCATGTTTCGAGCACATAATATATCAAAACAGAAATCTTTTTCAATTGATCCCTCGAGGAAATGTCCCTCACGAAGGGCTTTCAAACGTAACATACAAAGATGGTCAGCGGTAAGATGCTGCACACAGTTCGATTCCTGAGTGTGGAGAATTATTGTCGAGTACATTATCTCAGTCTTTTTTTTTTGTAAGTGTTTTACGGCGCTCGCAACTGCATAAGGTCAAATGTGCACGCGGGACACATTCAACATTTTGAGTGGGTAGGAAATTTTGAATTGTGCCCGGATGGCGGCCGAAGCCTACTCTTATCAATTTTAGATCACCAAGGAATCTTTAACCGTCGCAACTTGCTCACGGGACCATTTTTCGACTTGTCAGAGAAAGCTAGGGTTATATCTTTCCTACCAGAAGATCAGGGGTATGGCTGAAAGACAGCAATAAGAAGGAGCCACGGAGTAGCAGTAGACAGGCTGCAGAAAGATTGGGGAGCCCTGAGAGGGGGAGGGGGGAAATGAGGTGATGGGGTGGGGCAGAAAGTGGAGACGAAAGCAGATGACAGAACATTGCTAGAGAGAAGGAAAGGAGTTTAAAGGAGACAATTTTAGAGAAGAACATTTTTTGGGGTCGCTGCCCCGATTCGAATCCGGGACCTTTGAATGAGAGTCGAACACCTTAAACCTCTAGGCCTCAAGAGCCCCCATGTTTGTTTGTTTGCTGGTTTGTATACCCCTGTGGCCACAATAACGGTCATTTAGAGCCTGGAGAAAGAAAGACTCTGAGAGCGAAACAAAGGAGGGATAGAAAAGAGGTAAATGAGAAGTAGGACTTTGTGGCGATTCCCCCAACCACCAGCGACGGGAACCTTTGGGTTTTTCTATAGTTTGCCTGTGGGTTTCTAAAATGCCCCATACACGTTCAAAATTGTTGGTGAAACATTTTTATCATTTTTTTTTTTACAGTTTGACGTTTGCCCTACACGCTCAAATTGTTTGAAGCAAACATTAGTTTGTGCCAAGAGTTTGTAATGGCGTTGGCTCTTGCGAAGAAAAACAAAAGAAGAAAAAGAAAGTGGGGTCTGCGACTGTGCGGGTGTTTATTGAACACGCAGCAATAAAAGAGCATTAAAAACCCACAATGAAGGCTCGTAGATATCATCCCGCACCGGCCCCAGACTTTTGAGAATCATCCAATTTTTTCAACTATCTTCGAAAACTCATTCTCATTAAGTTAATTTTTTTTTCATTTCTTTTTTTTGGTGGCATCTGCATACCACTCCCTGTATTTCAGCAGCAGAGCGTCATAGATAGCTTTAAAAAAATCTCGGTCGCTATATTCTTTACTTTTTACTTTCCATAGTTCAGGCAAACTCTGGTACACTTCAATCAGCTCCAGAAGAGGTTTTTTGTATCCTTTGAGGGCGCCACCGTGATGTAAGGAGTATATCTTTTCTATCCGGCAGCAACTGATAAAATAATGTTCGCACAAATAAATTTGATGAAGCCCACACACGATCAAACAGTTTGACGGTTTCACAAAAAGTATCAACTGAAAACAGATCAGTCAAATATTTGACATCAAAATTTTTTACCATCAAACATGCCCATACACGATCAAAAACCTATGGAAAGAATTTGTGTAAAAACTATCTGATCAAACCATCAAAGAAATGTGAGCGTGTTTGGGGCACTTAACTTTTAACATTATTAATTTTCTCCCCACATGCTCAAATCCCGGGGTGTTCTGTTTGTCTCGTGATGAGTTCACGCAGAGGGCGAGAGGTGGATGTGTGTGTGTGTGTGTGTGTGTGTGTGTG